AGCAATAAATGTCATTTTCCAAATCTTTTTTTCTGAAAAGATGCCATAAATCATGAATTGATTCGATTTCAATCTGAAAGTACAACATTGAATTCCAATATAAGCAACGTGTAAATGAGCTTCAATCTAAATAGAGAATTGTTATGATTAATTCTGTGTTTCTAATCAGCGTCCTTATATGTTGTTCTTTATTTTGCATACAATACTAAAAATAACAGAATGAATGATACATTTAAATATTTGAAAATTCATGAGTTAAAAACTGTAATAGCGAATTTACCAAACAAATTGTCAATTATAAAATGCATATTTTGAAAAATTAAAACATAATTTGGGATTTTATATTGGATAAATATTTTATATTTAACTTTATGCTATATTGTAATACGACAAAATTCAGCAGTAAATTCTGAAATATACATGTACCATAAATGACACACAAGTTTGCAAATACAATAATATGCAATTCTCTTAAAAAGTAATCCTAGGACCAAGTTAAGTTTTTTTCTAGCATGAATTTGATACGTTTTCTGAATTCACACACAGTCTAATTTTCCATATGAAATGTGTACATGATATCTCAAGTGTTCTTTCTCTTTTCTGTCTTGCCTTTGTCTTATTTCCATTTTGCTTTTTTTAATTTGCTGATTCATATTTTTTTCAGGTCCAGAAGGATGTAACCTCTTTATTTATCATCTGCCTCAAGAGTTCGGTGATGCTGAGTTGATGCAGATGTTTATGCCATTTGGCAACGTCATCAGCTCTAAAGTGTTTGTTGATAGAGCCACCAATCAGAGTAAATGTTTTGGTGAGTTCAAGATTGATAACTAAACTAGTCAATCCATCTCCTATATGGCACTGGCTTCTTGAAATACTGTAAATTACTTTAATTTAGCTGGAATTAATTTTCACTAAAAATACTTTTTCATTGTTTTGCGTGAAGTTTTTTTTCACTCGATTTTTGATGAATTGAATATAAAATATTGGAATAAGGGTGTAATCGCTGGATTTTGTTACACTGAAAAGTAGCAAAAATGTAGCAAAAATAACTCAAAGCAAAAATAAAATATTTTACAATACAGAATGTGTTTGTTGACCTGACAATAAATAACCTTCGACATTTTAAATAAACTGAATGACATATCATTTGTAAAAATCATGATATTTGTTTTCTAACCATTTTATCGCTATTTTGTAGGTTTTGTAAGTTTTGATAACCCTGCCAGTGCTCAGGGTGCTATACAAGCCATGAATGGTTTTCAAATCGGGATGAAACGACTTAAAGTACAACTAAAAAGGCCCAAAGATGCCAACAAACCATATTAACGTGACACTCTAGACAAACCTAGGTAGGTGAGAAAGTTTCTACTTTCGCTGTGCTCTTTCTGTTATTACAATTACTGGCAATATAGATTTATCATGTTAGTGCTTGCAGCCACCTGCCATTTTCCGATACTCTGTCAGGTTTTACAACTCTCTAAATAATGTTCAAACTAACACACTTATGTTTTTATGACTTGTAAATAATAAATACTACATGTGTGGAAACTATTCATGTAAACATGCCTTGGGTTTATCAGTATGTATCCATCATTCTGTTCAGATTTAACCGGTTGTATCCAGTTACATCCGGTTATAATGAGAATATCCCAAAATATGCTCTCAGAAAGTACAACAGGAATGACCAATGAGTTGCATTCCTGTACCCAATACCTCATCTTAAGAATTAATCTCGGAAATATTGCATTAATCATTCCTTATATGGAATTTGCATTTCCTAATATGGCTGGATGCAAATGCCCTGTTAGAAGCTACAAAATTACGACTTACTGTAACTTACCTAGAAATACACTGACAGATGTTTAATAATACCCATTGTCCAGTTTAATCCAGTTCTGTCCAGTAATTTCCAGCTCTATCCAGTCATTTCTAGCTTTTTTTCACTCCTACCCAAGTTCTCTTTTTTTTTCAAATAAGCAATTACATTGCCTGTATTTGAGAAACTCAAATCTTCTATGCTTATGCTTTTCAATTATGTGGGAACTTGTACCATGTAGTTAATTTATAAATGACAGATGGCTGAAAGCTTTTTACTGTTTCATTTTATTCACTCTATATATTTGTTGTAGTTAGAAATCATTCACTCTTTCTGTTCAGACAGTATGCAAAATTATTAACTTTTTAGTGGGCACTTCTAATTTGTATGCTAATTATATGTAAATTATATGCAAATCAATCAAATGCAAATAATTGATCTAAGACTGATTAAGAAGGGAATAGGCAGCCATTTTGTCTTGTATTTGATTGTCTGTCAGCTTGTGTGTGTTTTTAGTTAGTTTTTCAAACTATATTTTGTGTAAATGTGGCGTACATGTCTGAAGTGGATCTTTATTTGACTAGTTTACAACTGTCTATCTTGTTTGGACTTGAGTTATATATTTTTCTAATATTTTCAGCACATTCTGCAAGTTTTATATCTTTATCACTTTCTGCATATTTCTTATATTTTTTTTCCAATTCTTGAGTTGCACTCTAATCTCATGATTTGCACCCTACCCATCATGCCTCATTCTTTTCTCCCTTTTGCACTTCCTTTTCCCATGGCAACCACTAGACCACCAGGTGACCCAAACTAAACATCGATGAACATGGTTTTGCCCATCAGAACTAGTCACCATAGCAACCAGAATTTGATTGACAAGTGCCAACGAGTAAGTCACTCGTTTGCGATGAACAATGTCGTCCTGTACCGTACAATGTAGTTTTTAACAATTGTTTCATTTCTGTACTTTTGTAACCTTATTTGGTAGTGCGGTATATTTTTGAGGTCTTTTCGTGTCTTTTTTTTTTCTTGTCATTTAAATATTGTTTCTTCAGTGCGAGTACAGTTTTGTACAGTTTGTTGGTGGTTGCTTTTGTGATTTACTTCCTCCAATAATTAATATTGCTTGCAGATATTTTCTTTGGCTTTTTTTCTCTTCCTTGATGTTTTGTATTATTATGCTCCAGCATAATTTCAACTTACTTTGGGGCAGACCAAAATTCTAACAAAAACAAGAAAATAAAAATTCATTGGTTGTAATTGTGGTGTGTTTGATGTTGTTTCCGTGTGAAATGTACTATGTAAATTGAATTTATCACGTTATTTGACAGTATTATAACAGATTTCATTCAAAATGTCTTAAAAATGATAACAGTAAACCAAATTGTCTTTCGCTGTGTAATCTACTTTTCACATTATAAATATAGTGTATGTGCTTAGCCAATTACAGTGGTTGTTACATGTGTATGGTGACTG